TTTAGGGCTAAAAAAAAAAAAAAAAAAAAAAAACAATAGATATGGAAGCCTACAAACTCTCACTTGAGACTTGGTGGAAGAAGATCCCATACTCACTAGCACAAATTACTTTTGATCCTACTCTTAGTCTTGTTTACCAATTCATCCCCTCGATCTTTTTCTAATAAGTTAAATATATTTGGAGACTTTCTCACATTTGGGACATGATTGGTATATAGTACTGACTGGACTAGACAATACAAAAAGGAGAACTTTTTAACTTCTTCTTTTTTTCCCCTTTCGAATCCACCACAATGAACACACCATAGAAGTAAAAAGAAATACTCAGCATGGAAACATATTACATAGTGATTCAGAGAATAATCATAAAAGGGAATATTTAAAGTATCGATTACTACTTGCGCAGTAGAATAAAATATACCTTAAAATATGGATCACTTTTTGAAACTCAGAATCTCCAATAAATAAAGCTTGCCTTCTAACCCATGCACAGCTGCAAAAGGCACTTATACAGTCATTCAGAGACAAGCAGAAATGGGGGAGGTGTAAAACAGGTTGAAAGCCAGAAAACAATTTATAACTACTACGTGATTCAGGGCCGCAGTTATCATATGACTGCTCCGAAAAATATAAAAAAGAAAAACTAAACTACAGCTGATGTGCAGCTGTAGTTTCTAGCAGAAGAAGATAGCTGTTTCTAGTACATAAACATGCAGATTCTACCGTTAAAGGGCTTGAGGTCCTGGGCTGGGGCAGGGGTTGGTTTTTAGACACCTTTCTGTACTTTGCATGTGGCATGCTTCATGTAATTTCTTCTGCAGTATTGGGTTTTTAATTCGTGAAGTTTTTAATTCATAGTGAGATACAAAGGAAAAATGAAAAACGCGCAGGATCATTATTAGGACAATCATACTGGTGGACCATTGCTGACTATTCGGGTTAACCAACCAAGATTAGCTTCTATCATAATTTATTTAAACAGAGGCAAAAGCCTCAGTAATGGTACGCACGATAGGAAAAAGTTGTAGCAAACCTTGTAGCTAATTGTATTAAAAAAAAAAAAAAAAAATACAGAAATACAAATGTACCTACGTCGTACCAGTGAAGCTCTTCAGCCTTTGCCTAAGGCAAAATCTTTCTAAAGAGAAGCCTTACATGCAAAATATAAATATAAAATAGATCTTCCTACTTACTATAACTCCTTTTTAATCAACTGCTTCATACATGTATGTTATGTATCAATTGTTTTTTTTTTTTACATGTGGAATAATTATAGTCCTATTCTATATGTCAATACCGGCATCAATGAAATTTATAGTAAAAGGAAAAGTCATCAACTTAAAATTAGTTTAGGTTCAAGTTCAAGTCCTCCTTTCCCAAAAAGCCTATTTGACTCCCCAAATATTTATCTTATCCCTTTGTTGTTACTTGATACAGAATCGGTGGTTCAGTAGCTAAAACTTTAATTTTAGATCCTATCAGAGTTTTTACTCTCGTTCCCGTTCCTAATATACAAAAACGAGATTCTAGATTTAAAGAGCTACGAATAGGATCAATTTTAAATTACTTCATTGTGTCACAGATATTCTGTTCTTGTTCCCCACTCTTAACTGGTGTATGAATCAGTTTATTAAAGCAGCGTTCTGTCATCAACGACACCTTTAATAATGAATAAGAGCACCACAGAAAGCTATGCTTATAATTAGAATGCAACTTGAGAAAAAATCTCAAAGAATGAGATTTATATACTTATGCAGAACATGTAAGTCAAAAATAAAAACGGTGAATATGATACAGATAGCTGAATTGCACAATATACATACATTGTTTAGGTAGAGTCGTGTACTCACCAAAAACACAGCCAACAGACCACATATCAACAGCTGGGGAGTAAGAGTAAAGAGTAGATCCCAGAAGAACCTCAAGAGCTCTATACCAGAGAGTAACAATCTGAAAATAAAATTTACAGATGGCTCAAAAGATCAAATGATGGATCAAATAAATTTACCATTTCTTTGTTGACAATGCAAAATGCCTGTTTCCTATACACAATGAGACAAGGAGCAGGTGATCAATTCGTAAGTTTCCAACAAGTTCCGTACTAAAAATCCATCAAAGCTATGATTCTAGATAGAAAAAAATACGCTGACTATCATAAACAAGCTAAATCCATATCCAAACACAAAATAAGCTAAAACAGTAGGCCAATAGTGCTCATTCTTTAATTTCTGAAAATAAAACTACTTCGGCCATTAATACCAGAAGAAGCTAAATTTCAACCAATAAAGAATTAATGCAGTCTTATCAACAATAAGGTCTACAATACATTAATTAGTTTTTCAGTAAAGACTTACAGAGGGGAAGATAAAAAAGTTAGTACGTATGCTAAGCATGATTCTTTTAGAATAAAACAGGAGCATAGGTTAAGATGTATTATATGAAGAATCAATGCATTATCAGAAGAATTAAAACCAGAAATTGTATTCTGTCCATTTGATATAAAAAATGACTATGCCTTTGTTTGGTCCCTATTATTTTCAAAACACATTTTTCTCTCTTTTATTTTCCTCCACACATTCTCCAATAAAATAGTATTACACGCAAACCCAAAACTTCTCCTTGTTTTTTAACCATACATTCTTCATCAAAATGCTATTCCAAAATGAATTTTGGGCAAAAATGGAGCTCAAACAGGCTCTATGTTTTAAAAGTATAGAGTACTTCTCGATAAAGATAGAAATGAACTAAAACACAAGTCAAGAGATACGACAGCATATTCAATATATCATCGATCAAGAACTTTTAAAATATAGAAATGAAGATTCTTAACATTCATTTTGCCTTGTGTCCAGCAGAGAACTAAAAAAGGGCAAAATACATCATGAGCCACATAATCACCATAATAATGATTATTCAATGGAAATACATAGGATCTGTAAGTGTGCAAGCTTAAGCTTCAAGTAAAACTCATACCTTAGGCTTTATATAACCCATGCTCCCAGGGTCAATCTTGCATCTTCATAACTCAGGCAGGCCATGATCTTTCCTCTCTTATGAGGAGTTCATGCAATTTTGACCGTTACATCTTGAAGAAGCTGAATGAAGAGGCATGTATCATCAATTGAACAAGCCAGTCAAGCTTGGATACTGCTGACTAAATCTAAGAATGAGAACTCGATTTAATTTCAACAATTGAGCTTTTTATTTTTCAAGCTACCGCAGTCTATGAACAGTGACATGCGAGAAGTGCATGTGATGAGTTGGAATAACAGATTAACTTATATAGAAAGGGAATAAAAAGTGGTGTGAGGACAATTATGATATCGGTTTTTTTTTTTTTTTTTTTTTTTTTTTTTTTTTAATTTTCCCCACAATGCAAGAGAAACTTTCCTAAGGGGACGATCAAATGGACTACTTCATTCATTAGTCTATTTTGTACTTCAATTCATTTATCAAAGATTCTCGTGCAAGTTTGAGCATCTTGAAATTATAGCCCTTAAGTGAGAGAAGAGATACAAGTCTAAGGTACAAATTCATTGCAGTCTGCAAGAAGTAACTTCAGCAAACGAAGATTATGCTAGATTTCACAAATATACATTCATAAGTGGATAGTGATCTTGCAGAGAATAAAGCGTCAGCCAAATTCAAGCAACTACAGAGTCTAGAGTGCACATTCCACAAATAAACTTCATATCCATTGGTGTTTATCAAACATTATCCTAGTAAAGGAAAATCCATAGTTCAACATTGAAAGACAGCCAACTATTTCAAACTTTTGGCGAGCATATGACTAATGTCATAGAGATGGCAATTTATAACTTGTAAATGGTATTCACGTAGATGTATCCAGCCATAGAGATGATTCAGAATATCCCCTGAATAAAATCAAACTCATTTAATTGATCCTCTAATTTGCCAGATAGGTGTCTTTATTCGGTCTCATAAGTAGGCTAGTTCACATAAAAAGACGCAAGAAAAAAGAAGCTTCAAGTCAAGAAAAAATGACAGTAACATTAAAATTATCCAGAAGGATAGAAATCAGAAAGTAAATAAAAATCCAAAAAGCTTATCGCAAACAATGTTTTATGATGAATATACAAACATTTGCAGTACTCTTCAGAAGTGTGTGTAAGTAAAACGTATTGACAATAAGTATATATGAATTCACATTCCCGTAAAATGAGTCTAATTACTCATAGAAATTGTTCATCTCTCTTCACCATGCAAGTTTTCAGGCTGTAGAACAGAAAGTATATAGATTCAAGTACCCCTAATAGATATTTCTAACTGCTCTATCCTTTTAGCCAAATCATGTTTACCGCAGTTTTTTAACCCATCAGTAACCATGTCAAAACTCTGTGACATGGGCAATAAATTTAACTCTGTCATCTCCACCAAATAATTGGCAGCTTCAACAAATCTACCTCCACGTCCACACATCTTTATCAGCATTGTATAAACTGGTCTATTTGGTGGATGCCCCTTCACCTTCATGTCTACAAAAAAGCTAAATGCATCATTAAACTGTCCCCTTCGACATAGAGCTTTCAGGATAGGAGCGTATAAACTGGGAAACGGTTGGTGCCCCTCCTCAATGGATCTGTGAAGAATCCTAAAAGCCTCGTCAACTCTTCCAATTTTTGACGCAACACTTATCATAATCTTATATGTCTCTGTGTCAGGACAAAATCCCAGTTGGGAAACATCATTAAAAAGATTGATGCAAAAGTCAACCCCCCCAGATCTGCACACAGCTTCCACTAAACAATTAAACGTGCCAACATCTGGCACAAACCCTTCTTTGGTCATTTTTCTCACCAATCCTTTCGCAGATTCAAGATAACCTGCATTTATCAAACCATCAATCAAAAGGTCACGGCCACGCACAGGGGGATTAAAGCCCTTATGATTCATCTCCTCCAGGAACTCCTGGGCCTCTTTCATCTTTCCCACAGAACACCATGCATTTACAAGAATCGAGTAAGTCCTCTTATCAGGAACAACACCTTTTCGGATCATTCTCCGAATCAACGCATAGGCACCTTGGAAATTTTTTATCTCACATAAAGCATAAAGCAAAGAGTTGTATATCTCAATTGTTTGAGGACAACTGAAGTTTTTTAGGCGATTGAAGAGCTCTACGGCCTGGTCAATATGGCCATTCTTTCCATACTGTTCAATGATGAAAGACACGACAGAAGGTGAGATAGGGAGGTTGAGGGTTTTCATCTGGTGGGCAACCTTCCACATGGTTTCCCAGTGGCAATTGCGAGCGAGGGTATTAAGGAGCTCTTCAAACTCAAGGGTGGTGGGATCATAGTGAGGCTGATTGGTGCGGACCCAATTAAAGAATCGGAAGGATTCAATACCAGAGTGGCAGCAGCTTCGAAGGACACGGTACACTAGCTCAGAATTGACAAAGCTAGTGATCCGCATTTTATTGAGTGTTCGCTCCATGTAGATATCTCGGCGAACTACGTTAGATATGTGGTTTATGGTAGTGAAATAATCGTCGTTGGATAAACCTCTGCCACTTCCGGAATTGTTTCCTGGGTTAGAGACAGATGCCATGGTCTTAATGTACATGAAACTGCCAGCGGCACTGGCTTTGGCTGGGATAGAAGTTTTCCGAATCAGCCAGGCAGCTGACATGGAGCTACAGGTAGAAAGAAATTTTTGACAGTTGAATGCCTTCACCAAAATTTCACCCCACCAGCAGTAGGTAACTGAACTTCAATTGCCAACAATCAGGTCGGCGCAAAATTAAAAAACCCAGTACCAATTGAAACTCCAATAGGTCGTTCTTCTACACAAAAAAGTGATAATCAATGCAAGTTCACAGAGATGAATCTACAAAGCTAAACACAGATATATGCATATATTTGGCAGATAGGCAAAATCATTCTAAATATAACAGTACTCTATTTGCGCGATTGAAGAAGAAGAAGCGGCTGCATTAGGATGATCTTTCTTGATTACAGTAAAATAGAAGCAACCAGTACGAGAAGTTTTGCCTTGATTATAAGCTAAAGCTGTCTCTTTTATTTTCTATTCCCTTCGTAGTAGAGCTTTTTCATCACATGAACAAGGGCAGCACCAGCCGTCACCATGGCTTATTCAAGAAACACAAAAACCCAGCAAAAATTCGAATCTAATGATGATTAAAGCTTCGGGCTGGAATTAAGTAAATAAATAAATTGATTAGGTGCTTTTCCCCGATACATTGTGAATTGTTTCTTCAGCAAGACAGCGACAGAACGTTTAGGGTTCATGAGAGTCCACTCAAAGCCAATTTGAGCAATGCTCACGTTAATCACTTTTATTTTGACGATGAAATTACAAAAATAAAAAATATCCATTTTGATATAGTCATTTGTAAAAATGTTTAAAATTTTTCAATGTCCATTTTTACAATTATTTGGACGAAAGTATCCTAAGTGATGTTCTCGACATTTTAAATGTCGTTTCCGATATTTGAATTAGTTTATATTTCAAAAGTACATATCTGAAATCACAATATTAAATGTTTTCAATATTTCAAACGTTGTTCTCGACATATTAAATGTCTAAAATGACATATGATTTCAGACATAATATTTTTCTATACTTTCAATAAATTCTCGACATTTCTGTGTCTAGCATTAATTGTGATTTGACATGTACAATATGAAATTATTTATTTTTTCATTAAGGCTAAAATAGAGAATTTGGTATCAAATTTGGCCATTTTTGCAAAGATTATTAAAAGTTGACATTTTTTTAATTGACACATGTAAAATTGAACATTTTTGCAAATACCCCTTATTTCATTATTAACCGGATTTTAGATTGCATTTCTAGCTTATAAGAGGACTTCAAAATTTCCAAGGTAATTGAACTTTAAAAATGTTCTCCATCCATTCACAGGTTACGATTTCATTGGCCGAATTTATTAGAGGGAAAAACTCACAACTCCGTATTAACTATGGTCAATTCAGATTTCAAGTTTAAAGCTTTAAAATTAAAAAGGTGATAAAAAAATAATTGAAAATATTTTGTTAATTAAATATATTAAGATCACAAATACGTATTTATGAATCACAACATATTTATTGATCACATATTATCAAATTAATTGATCACAAATTAAAAATTTTATAGGGCACAAATTATTTTATAGTCACAAATAAAAAATTTCATATGTTACAATTTGTTCATCAGTCACAAATCAAAAGATTAATATGTCACAAATTAACCAATGATCACAACACCCAAATAATGATCACACACTTCCTATCCACTATATCGTCGTTGTCATCACCACAGCCGTTGCCATTGTCACAGTCGCCACCATTACCACCACACCAACACCAACCTACCATCACAGCCAGCAATGCCACGACCTCATCACCACCACTTAGGGATGTCAACAAGTCGAGTTGAGCTGGCTCGCGAACTGAAATTCGAGGATCGAGCTCGACTCAAGTAAAATGATCGAGCTTTTTTTGGGCTCGAGCTGGGTGTAGCAAAAGCTCGGCAAAAAAATTAGGCTCGACCCGAGCTTTTGGCTCAGGCCTTTCTAAGTCGGACAGACTCTATTCACTACTTTATTACTTGTTCATGACCCCATTTACTTGTGGAAAATCAAACAATCAAGTTTTTTACATCATTGCCGGATACAATTGTTTTGGATAAGTTTTAGTTAATTTTAGCTCTAATTGAATTTTATTGCTTTAATTGTTAGTTTATTTCATTCGAAAAATTTTATAGTACTTTTTGCTTACTTTTTCAGGACTTTGTTTGCAAAATTCGAGACCTCGTAATCTTACTCAATTTGATCTAGAGATAGAACGCACATTCAAGTTTCGAAGAAGAAAACAACTGGTAGCACAACATAAATAGAAGAGGAACACGGGGTAGAGAGTAACTTGAATCCTATTGCCATCTGGGCAATTTTGGGGTAGTAACTCTAAAAATAGCCACAGAGGATGAGAACGCAAGGCTCATACGGTAAATATATGATTCCACATGTTGTGGAAAACCAGTCAAGTATTGTTTATCCAACCTTTAGTCAGACGAACTTTCACTTGAGGACATATGTCATAAACATATTCTGGAATGTTTTGTAATTCTTTGGGAGAGCTATTGAGAACCCAAACTTTCACTTAATAAGATTCTTGGACATATGTGCAACAATCGAGTATCCAAAAGTTTCAAGCGAGGCAATCAGACTGAGATTTTTCTATACATATTGAGAGACTCAGCCAGTGAGTGGTTAGACACTTGTTCACATCAGAGCATCACCTACATGGAAAACCAATTGAGTAAGAAGTTCCTTAACATATATTTTCCATAAAAAAGGATTGCAAAGCTGAGAAATGAGATTATCACATTCCAACAGTTGGACTCCGAATGTTATTTAAAGGATTGGGAATATTACAAAAGTCTACTCGTTCAGTGCCTACAACATGGATTACAGAAGTGGTTCCAGGTACAATACATTTACATTGGTCCGCATCCAATTAGTAGGGCTGACGTAGACATTGCGTACGATGGAAGACTTGGCATTCATTAGTACACTTTGGCCTACTAAAAAAATGAGTCGAAAGAGGTTACTAGAGTACGAAGTTGGTTATTTGATAGCAATATCAGCTCAATTGGTATCATTGGCACAAAAGGTGGAACAGATGAGTGCAACTCGTATAGTTAGACCAAAATACAAGTATTATGGAGGGAATCATGAGATTGTCAACTGCATTTGGGCAGTCCTTTTGCTCAGTTAGTAATGGATGTAAATTATTCTCAAATTTTTCAAAGATAACAACACAATCAGAGTCCTAAAAGTATTATCTAGGCTGAAAAAATCATCCAAATTTTCAGTGGAGCAACATTTAGCAGGCCCAATTGGCACCACAGCAGACTGTATCGCTAGGATTTTAGTAGACCAAAAATAAGTCTTTATTATGAGATCTTATTACTAAATTGGGGGAGATCTCTACACAACACATATAAAGAAAAGATAAGGTTTTGCAAGATTGGGAAGTTGCCATTAAGAATTTAGAAAATCAGATAAGGCAAACAGCTAAACACTCTAAAAAAGATAGCCAAGAGCATTGGCGAGCAACACTGAGACAAATGCTAAACAACAAGTAATGGCAATGAGAGTTGTGGAGAAGAAACAGATTGAGACAGTCACTACAAGCAGCGGGACTCAACTTTCAAAAATCACAGTTGAGAGATAGGTAGTATTGAATAAAAATGTACCTTCCACGGTCGAAGAACACTCGGAGAAATCAAGCAGAATAAAGAATTAGAGAAAGGAAAAGTATTACAGGATCTAAAGGTTAAGGTAATCGCTCCTACCAGAGAATATGCTCCACAAAAACCCTTCCCACAAATATTGCAAAAGAGAAAGCTGGATGAATAGTTTGCAAAATTCTTGGACATATTTAGGAAGCTCATGTCAACATTCCACTGATTAAAGCTAAATCTCAAATACCAAACTATGCAAAAAAATTTAAGAAGCTCCTATCAAAAAAAGAAACTCATAGATTTTAAGACCAATAAGTTAAATGAGAAGTGCAGTGCCATATTGCAGAACAAATTATCTCGTAAACAAAAAGATCTAGGAAGTCTCAAAATACCTTACTCAATAGGATATGATTTGAATTTTAATTGTTTATGTGACTTATGAACGAGTATAAACTTAATGCCCTTTTCTGTCTATAGGAACTTAAGGCTTGGAATAGCTGAAGGACACATCCATTTTCTTTCAATTGGCAGAGAAATTGATCAAATACCCGTGAGGAGTGGTTGAGAACATGTTATCATGATATTGCCTGTTGATTTCATTGTCTTAGATAGAGAGGAGCCATGGGATACAATATTACTTATTTGGACAGATCCTTCCAATCATCAAGCTGAGCTATTATGGACTTTGAAAGTAGCAAACTAACGTCAAAAATGGATGATAAGCAAGAGAAGTTCAAGAGCTACACTACTATCGAGAAGCCATTACATAAAGAGACTACCAAAAAGAATAAGGAAGAGTGCAAATATATTACTGAAAATGTGCAACAAGGTTCAAATCTAGAAAGCATTGGTCAAGAGGAGAATGGAAAGTTCAAAGTCTGAATGGCAAAAAGATGATGCAAGGTTGAAAATTGTAAGGAGTGCAAGGGTTCAACACACTTGTTGTAACCATCATGATCAATTCTTCCATACAGTCTAGCTAAAGATTATAAACTAAGCGCTTATTGGGAGGCAACCAACCTCTTCCTTTTATTTATTGGATTTTATTATTATTATTATTTTGCATTAGATTTAGACTTGTTTCAATTGAGTTTCGGGATCATCTTCATCATTGACTCTTAGCCTAAATAAGGAAAAGCATTCGTTGAGTTAACATGAGTTAAAATTTGCATGTAACATGAAATTGGAGTTTAAACATAAAAAGAAAAAATAAAGTTTGAAAGTAATCTACGTGACCGCATGGTTCAACACCATATGTAGTCACATGAGTACATCCAAGGATCTAAAACCCGAAATTCATTTCTCCTATACTGTCGCACCGATTTATTCTATGTCACCGCATAGTCAAATCGGTGCTGATTTTTTTTTAAATGTTACGTTTTTTACTATTTTTTATTCTTTCGATTGTTTTCTTCCTCTCTTGATAGGTACTACAGATATTGCCATCAGAATGAGCTTAGCATAGTGCAAGTTGGGATACATTGACAAATAGCCCTTTACACATTTAATATAAAAAATTGGGGAGTACTTTCTTCCTTTTCTTACCCATCTTCTTATATTCTTACTTTTACTTTATGACATTAAGGATAATGTCGATTTTTTTAAGTTTGAGGGTAAGAAAAACTTTGAATTTTTATTTTTTGTATGCTTGTGTATTTTAGTGCATTTTTTTAGTAGTGCTTTAACATACATGAGAAAATTACACAAATATTGAAAAATTTGAAGAATTTCAAAAATATTTTCTTTTGTTGCGTTGTGTGCTTGTGTGGGTTAGATAGCTTAGCGGCAATGATAATTTAATTTGAGATTTAGTATTGCTTTATGAACTGCAGATATATTACATGCTTAAATTGATTAATGCTTAGCTTTTAAGAATTTGATATTATATGAGCACTAGAATTAAGTTTTACATCATGATACATAAGTTGATTTATATGCTGGATAGGTTAATAGATTGAACATAGATGCTATATTCAAAACTATCCTAAATTAATAATCCTTAGATCGAATTTAGTATAGTTTGGGGTGATTTTGTCATTATAGGAAGATATGGATGTGAATGGAGACTTCTTCTGTGAAAAAA